CCCCAGCACACCCACCCAAGCACACCCACCCAAGCACACCCACCCCAGCACACTCACAAAGCGACCAGCTTTTCACCTCACACCGCTCTCCACTCTCTCCTCCATCACTCGCACCACGTACCACCATCCTCCCGTCCTCACGATCCATTCCATACTCCATGTTCCGTTCTTCTTACCCTTCCACCCTCCAACACCACCTCCCTCGCCGTTTCCGCCCGTCTCGCTCTCTTCCGCGGAAGGAGTGACTGCCGGAAAGGTCAGCGTGGGGCGACGAGGCAGCGAGAAGAGAGACGTCACAGCGAGAACGAGGTCGCTGGCGACAGCTAGAGGGTGACTCAAAAGTGCTGTTTGCCGCCCCGTTTCGCCACGCCGCCACACGCCATCTCCACACCGCACAGAGGGCTATTGTCAAATCTAGACGGAACTAGACCCCCTCTGCAACTCTTTAATACTGAATTTTAGTATTAGTAAATTTGATCGTGAGTGTTGGCAAACCGAGACATACGAGCGGGCATGTTGGCAAAGCGAGATATTTTTTCGGCTGACATTGCTTCTCAAAATTGCTGCTTCCGTGCCCAATGCGCCACGCCGCCACACGGTATCAACACACCGAGCAGATGGATAAATTGCAAATCTAGGTCAAACTGGACTCAGCACTCCAACTCTCCAATAACCACCTTCTGTATTAGCAAATTTGATCGTGAATGTTGGCAAAATGAGATTTAAGAGAAGGTTTATTTCTTCGGCTGGCATTGCTACTCAAAAGTGCTGCTTGCGCACCCAATCCGCCACGCCGCCACACACCATTTCCACATGTCAAAGCTAGGAAGAACCAGCCACCCCTCCCCGACATTTTAATACCGACCTTTTGTATTAGAAAACTTTTGTATTAAATCGTCGATGTTTACAAAACGAAATTTAAAAGCTGTTATAACTTTTTCGGCTGATTGATTGGTGCTACCGGGCACGACAACGTCTAAGGTTTTTAGTCTCGTAAATGTAGTGCATGTTTTTCATCGGGACGTGGCTGTGTTCTTTCCCCGATGACTGGTGAAATCCGGCGCCAACCTACCGTCGGCTAGCGGGGTTTTCCCTAAACCAGGCATCTCCCACCAGCCGGGGCACCGCACCATTCGGGAGAAGCTCTACGCCCTCGACTGGTCTCGCCCATGCCCTCGCCCTCGCCCTCGCCCTCGCCCTCGCCCTCGCCCTCGCCCTGGACTGTAAGTGTGTGTAAGTAAGGGATGAGGATATGGCAAGGGAGAGGAAGGAAAGATCGTGCGTGGTCCATGGCCCATTTCGTGCGGTACTGCTCCGGCATTCGCCTGGTGCTGATCGGAGAAACCAACGGAAAACTACCGATCAGAACAATAGAATTTTCCAGACAGCGACAGAACTTGACCCGGCTATTTAGCTAGTCGCGACTAGAACCTATTCACCTTAGTCCCGGTCAAATGCACCGTAGTGAGATCAGTTGGTGTTCTGTGCCATCTTCACCAGTGCCACCTTAGGAGAGTGGTATTCCTGTCTTATTTGAAAGGAAGTACTGCACCAGTTTTACATAGGGCAGGCGCTAATATGGACATGCGCGCTCAGTTATCAATGAAATGCGAATGCAAAGCCATTTGATATGAAAGGTGTTCCGGCAATTACATACTTACGACTAGCAGTAATATAATTTGAATCCAGCGCTTTTCTGGTCGTAAAACAAGTTATTAAGTAGGGCCGACGCGGAAGCTAAATTTTACATTTTTCCGACTTTCAAGTAGATTTTAAACCATGTGGATTAACTAGTATTACAACAAAAATATATTACTACATACGCATTTTTACTTCCATCAATGCCACTTCCGTACAACTACGTTCACTTTCAACTACGCCAAGATCATAAAATTGTTTGACAATTAGACCATTTTCTTCACCACTTTTAAGATTATCCAAAAAGCTTCATTTATACAAACTGTAGAATAAGGATTTATCAGATATTAGGATTGTGTACATCAGAGAATTTTCACTCTGAACAGTTTAAAAAATTACGTTATTCGTTGAGATATTGTAAATTGTGTAGTACTCTAGATAGACTAATATTGATTTATTATTCGACGTTGATAATCTAGTTATTGAGAAGAAATTTAACGAATGAAAAAAATATCTGATTGTATTTCGTTAAATTTTACTAATCATTATTCCTTATTGATAAATATAAACACAAAAATAAATATTACATTTATTATGAATCCGATTCTCAATACTAACATTCCATTTCCTTCCCCTATAACATTTAAAACAAAATGTTTAAGGCTAGTTCGCTTAGGATTGCCATTTGACCCATTGCGCCCGACTATTTACCTTCACATACTTTTCCCTCACTTTTTCAGAGGAATGACATTTCCTGATTTTTCTGCTTTCTTTTATGATTTCCAGAAAATGGCCACCCTGCGCCTTTGCTTTCTCCGACTAATCAACACAACTCTTCCAATCGTTGCCCACTAAGCAGGTGTATTCTTTTCACTCTCCTCTCCCTCACTCACTCAACTCGCTCCCGTGTCCTCTTGCATCGTTCTCAGCAGCTTTTGAAGCAACTGGCGGAAAGGCCAGCGAGGGACGAGAAAGAAGCGTGAAGAGAGATGTCACAGCGAGAACGGCGTTGCTTGCGGCAGCTACAGAGTGCCACCAAAGTGCTGCTTGCACACCCATTTCCACACGACGTTAACAAACAGATGCAAACCGTTCTCACGTCACTTCAACGCTGTCACATGGCTTGGCGCCGTCCCCGCGCCGTCCCCGCGCCGTCCCCGCGCCGTCCCCGCGCCGTCCCCGCGCCGTCCCCGCGCCGCCCCACGACGTCCCAACGACGTCCCCACGACGTCCCCTCGTCATTCTACGTCATTCTACGTCATCCTACGTCATCCTACGTCAGCCTCACGTCATCTCCACGTCATCTTCACGTCGCCACCGTAGTACGATTTGACTGACAATGCTGTTACTCAATCGGGTGCTTCGTTTTAACTTAATTGGTGCACTTAAGGCTTCTGATTAGATAACTGCTTTCCAACTGATCACAAGTCAATTCGACATGCGGTTTAATCGGTACACCGTATTAATACCACAGATTAACCAATCTTACACCTTTGTTATCCCTTCCTCACAATACTCTTGCATTGCCATTCGCATCACTCTCACTAAATGACCGTAATTTACAGCAGTGAGCTTTGTTGTAATTTAACTTAGGGGAATTCTGAAATGGGTTCGGTGTGCAAATAGGGCTACTGCTGTCAATAAAGAGAGAGACATTATCATAGGTAATATCATGAGAGCTTTATAAATTGTCGATAAATCCCCAACTCACGAAGCGGGTATTTATCTAAGATTTTCCAAAGCACGAGTGGTATTTCATATAACTATTTCATGAAAGAAATTACGTCCAACACAGTTCCAAAATGCTCCAAATATTGAAAACAACTGAATGAATGTTAAAATCAACGAGGTTATGTTATAGTACGTACGAGGTATATTGTACGTCAACATAGCGATCGATACATAACTCCATCTAAGATAGATGAGTCGCAGCTTATTATTGGCCAGGTGTGGTAAGAAAAATCGGATGAAAAAACGATAAATTGTTTGAGATACATCATTCTAATTGGGAAATTTTATATGTATAGTTAAACACTATTGGTTTTAATTTCACGAGTGTTATAGTCTGCTGCATAATACTGGTCATCTAAGGAATTACAGTTGCAACATGTTGCTATTGTAGTGAAACATAACGTGAAATTAATAGCACATAGGCTATCACTTCTCACATTAAAGTGAGTAGATTGTCCATCATTTATTAGATGATATAAATTATTAGGTCAGTTAGTATTAGATACTAATTCCCAACACCAGCTCCTATTGGCCCCTTTCCATATTGTCATGTTGTATTGCCATATTTCGCACTCCACTTCTTGCTTTTTTTTCAGCATGCCAATTTTTTGCAATATTTCTTGTAGACGTTTTAAAAATCTACCTCATTGTGATAAAAATGACGTAATTTAGATAGATCACTTTTCAAAGTTATAATATATGTACACAAAGGTGAGTAGCAATCGTGAGTAGCAATCGGCAGTTGAAATGAGTATCACAAGTTTGAGTGACTGGCTGCAGCAGAAAGTGACAGAAACAAATACATCTGTTAGAAAGTAAAAGCTTGTGAGAAATGGAAACATGTGATATGCCGGTTCGGATGGTTGACTTCATTAAGTTGCCGTAGCGATCTCGGATCGGAGAATAGCGGGTTCGAGTTCCTCCTCGGGCATGGTTATATTCGTGTTCGTGCTATCAACCCCTTCTCATCACCATATCATGTTATGTTTATAGATACCGTACCGTTAAATGCAATACTGGTCGCTAATGACCTAGGTTTTGATAAATAACTAAAAAAAGTGATATATTTCTCCTCCGCTTTTCCTGTCTAAACCGACAAGTCCTAGCTTCACATTGCATTCTTCACACCCTTCCACCTTCCTTCACACAACTCACTTCCGGTTCCTGCAGCGTCGCTCTCGGCCGGGTGGCGGAGTGACTAGCGGCCGGCGTGCACTGTCCAGCCTTCGTGAAGAGACGCGTCGCGCTGGCGGCGAGTACAGCGCGTTCCCAAAGTGCTGCTTGCCCCCCTCCCACTCCACTCCGCCTCACCCTAACGTGAATTTCATCAGAGAGCGAATAATGTCGCAGCTGTGGCGTAGACTGCGCCTTCTAAACAAGTACTTCTAAACAGTTTACTGGCGTTACTGCTGCTGGTGGTGTTACTGTTTACTGGTGTTACTGTTGTAACACTCGTCTCTCAGATGCAAAGTTTCCTGAATTTTTTTGGTGTGTACGTGGCTATGAGAGAGAAGGGCAATTAAATATTGTGTAGAGTTTGTGAATTGAAGGTCTTCTCGCGACAAATAGCATTAGTACCAAATTGAAAAATTGATTTAATAATGCCACCTTGTAGTGCGAGCATTTATGCATATGGAAATGTAACGACTCGGGCTGAAGAACATTAGTCGTCAAGATAACGAGCGAAGAAAAGTAAGTGAACAAGGATGGTGTGTTAGCACGGTGAACGTTTTTTCTCATTTCACAAATTGGGTTCTTGGACTAATGCGTTTTTTCCAAGAAGC